TGCCAAAAGTTATGTTTGAATTATTAACACCGACGCGATGAAGCAATTAATCAAGTTAGAGAAACATAGAATATTCCAGTTAGAAGGGAAGCTGTTGCTCTGAGCATTTTAATATTGAATTCTATTATGCTCCGGTGGACCGCATCAATTTTCGCATTAATTTTGCTTATATGCGAATACATGTATGAGATAAATATCAAATAAATACACAGTTGTGCTGCCGATAAGATCGAAATGACCCCAAAGGAAGTGGCTTTTTATGGGTGTTTTAATATGAAATAAACACCAGGTATTTATGAAGGTACACGCGCTATAATTTTTTGTCGATAATAGAACTCGAGGGTTCTTTTTTAACAAGGCCCTTGTTAAAGAACGAAATCACGCAACGTGTATTATAAGTTAATATATGAGTCAGACCACAGGAAAAGGGGTCTTATTACAGATTTTTCAATATTCTGATTTTTCATTTTAGAAAGCACAAAGACACCTTTCAAATAAACTTTGGCTTATGTCCTTTCCTTGCATACATAGACCAAAAAGTCGGATTCTAATTCAGCACATTTTCCTCTTAATTTTGGGCACATTTTTGGCTCTGTAGCACAATTTTAATTTTTGTAATAAGATCGGTTTCCCTATGGCCAGGCTCATATACCATTGTAAAATCGTCCAGTGGATCCCTCAAATCGTTTTAATAATTTATCTTGCATGTACATTTTAAGTCACACGTAAAATAAGCATTATTACCACCTTGCCGGGCCAGTTCTAGGGGTTTTAGTGTTAGTTTAGAAGGCATTCATTTTACTATATCGCCTGAGCGGTCAATAATGCAATTTCTTGCTATTTCAGCCCTGGTCATTAATGGTGGTCATAATACTAATAACGACATTTCTGCGGGCAATATAGTGAAATCTATATTTCACAATATTGCCCTTCGAAATGACGTTATTGTACTAATAAATTAATAATCCAGATTTTCTTTATTATAAGATGCTCTACCGATCGGCAGCAAACAATTTATTTTTTCCTCGAGCTGATATTATCATCATAAACGTTAAATATTACATCTTAGTCGTTAGTGTTGATTATTGCTTTTGATAAAAGCTTCATTAGTATCGTATTGCTTGAAATATTACAGTACGGTACAATACCATTATGGATCAAGTTATACGTTCAGCACCATGGTTTACATTCAGGGTAGAAATTCGAAGTTCCGTAAATTCACATTTTGACAAGCTGGGTTTACCTTGCTCTTGTTTTTTATACAATTTTCATTTCAGGTTAAACAACATTAAGATGTATATATTTACAATGACAAAACAATATAACAAGGTTACAATAACTCTTAATATCACAATGCTTTACAGATTATGCACAAATGGTAATACGCAAATTAGGTATATACTACAAAATGTATCGAATAATTCGTTCTGTGTATGATATAGAAATTCTTCTGAATGCTTAAAAGGGGCGTCCTAAATGTTTACCTCGAGTCATATCAAATTACTCAAATAATGTTGAATTTTTCTTCACTTTTCCCCTTCCCCTAACGTTAATCCAGGTTTCATGATGGACTCATTTAACTTAACGTATGGATTATTAGAGATGTTTCGTGCAACGTTATAGTTATCCGCAATCGCATCCCATTTGACTCATTTAACTTTAACGTATGGATTATTAGAGATGTTTCGTACAACGTTATAGTTATCCGCAATCGCATCCCGTTTGACTCATTTAACTTAACGTATGGATTATTAGAGATATTTCGTACAACGTTATAGTTATCCACAATCGCATCCCGTTTGACTCATTCAACTTAACGTATGGATTATTAGAGATGTTTCGTACAACGTTATAGTTATCCGCAATCGCATCTCGTTTTGATTGAATAAATCGAATTGCATGAATGCGTTACGGTTTTCGATACATTTTGGGCTAAAAACGTTATGCGAAACCTATCTAATATTAGTATCATCACGTACTGATGAATTTCATATTTTCCAGATCAAGTTAAACGTTATCAACATGACAATTTCTTTTCATGACAAGGGTAGAGGTGTAGGGGGTCACGTATTTCATTAAATGACATTATTAACGCATTTGGCTTAATTTATTTATTATTTTGATTTTTTCCAGTTCTGGTTAAACTTTGTCAATATTACAGTTTTCTTTTTAGAGAAATTGTGTGGAGGTCACGCATTACATTACGTGTTTTACAGTTCAAGTTTAACTTTGTCAGCATCGTCAGCATCATTTTCTTTCGATGGTATAAGGTCACGTATTGCGTATGTTGAGATTATACACCAGACGAATCCCTAGCCCCATAGGTATGCGTCGAATTTAAATTCTCTCGATTTATTAACATTGCCCAATGCAATTAGAAAAGAGAGTGTCTGGGATTGAACCGAACCGAGGCAAGTGTTTTTATCAATGATTTACCATGGAAGCATAAGGTTATACTTTTAAAAGAAAGAACGAATTGCAAAACGGATATAGTACTCTTAATCTTTTGCTGTATTATATCAATAAAGGTCGCTGGTGGATCTGGGGGGGGGCTGGGGGCCTTTTTGGTGCTGGGCCTTTTAAGGCCTAATTTTTTAATTTCAGGCCAAATTTTGAAGAAAATGGGCCCCAAAATTTCAAAATTTGGGCCAACTTTGGGGTTTTAGGGGCCCAAAAAGATTTTCCGCAAGTTTTTTTCTCTGACCTAAAATCCCCCCCCCCCCCCTTGTTGGTTCCCAGATCCTCCCCTGGACGTAATACGTGCCCTTACACCATCGAGGGAAAATCATGATGCTGGCGAAGAAGATTAACTTGCTATTGTTATGAATAGCTAGATTGCAATCAATCTATCTACATACAGGGTGTTTCAAAAAAGATGCAACCCACATACTTTACAATGCCTATACATGTATTTTAAGCCAATGAGGATGAACAATCTTTTTAGGTAGAAGTAAAGGTAGTTCAATGTCCTTTAAGTTGAGCAAGTTTCATTAATGTAGCTGATGTATGACCCATTTGCTGCCCATATAAACAATGTGCTCCAAATGGCTACCACCTCTCTTCTGACAGACTGGTAAATGCCCTTATCTTTCGTATTATCTATAGTTTGAGCTCTGCAATGGTTCTAGGGTTTTTGACCAATACACTATCTGATCAGGACAAGAAACATATGTTTCAATAAAAGCACATGTGTTATCAACAACATTACACAAAGTGTGCAAGTCTGTCTTCAGAAAAGTGGTAGAAATTGGGACAAGTTCTTTAAATGGCCAACAAATAGAATAAACACATGCTACGGTGATGACACTTTGTCAACTCAAAGGAAATTGAACGAACTTTAATTCTGCTAAACAAGATTTGTCATTCTCTATTTGTTACAAAGATATGCATCGTTAGATGGGTTCCATTTTTACGAAACACCCTGTACATAAATAAGGCCAAGAATTTGGTATTATGCCCAACGCAACTCGACTTATCTGTGGATTACCATACTTTATGAACTTTTATATCTCATTGGAGGGGCTAACAATATCATTCTTTTATCTATCTAACTTTTTCCTGGAAGGCGGTCGGCGTCCGTAACAAATGTCTTGTAACACAATCTTATAAATTCCACTGTTTAGACAGGCTTCAATTTTTTCATAATCATCTACAAGTTCCCAGATGTTCAAATCTGACTGAATTGACCTTCAATGACCTTCTGAAGATCAAAAGGCCAAATTTCTTGTAACAAATTCTTGTAACAAAATTTTACAATTTTAACTGTTTGGACTGGCTTCATTATTTCAAAATCATCAAAGATGTCCTTCAATGTTCTTCTCAAGGTCAAAAAGTTATTTTCCAAACTTGCTTTAAACTGACCTTTTTTAAAATCGTCTACAAGTTCCCAGGAGTCCAAATCTGATTACATTTCAGATTTGACTTGCTACAAATTGACCAAATTATTTCAAAATCATCAGCAAGTTCTCAGGAAAACAAATCTGACTTTAGATTTCAATTTTAACCCTCCATATTTTTCAATTGTTACACGTTTGTTCCTGTTTGCAGGTTGTGACATTTTGTCATGTTAATGCCTTGTTATCTTTGTAATGCAACTTTTAACTAAATGATAACTCATTGTCAATGACCACCTATTGAAATGAGATAGGACGAAATCATAATTTGATGAGGGATAAGGGAATCGAGTTAAGTACTCGCGCGTTTTAAAGGGAGAAATATACTCATTTGACCTCATAACAAATCAAAGTTATAATTTAAAAAGGAAATTTGTACTGTTTTTGAGATTCGGTTTTGCAATTTAAAAAAGATAGAGAATCAGTGCATCGTTTTTAGTTAACATTTTAGGATAAATTGAGTGAAACGGATATCTTCACAAGTTCACATATCATCCCGAACTTAAAAAATCTACTGACAATTCTTCGAAATGTTTTATGGAACTCATCTTTGGGTTTGATGTGACGAATTGGCTTTGTCAAAATAACAATTAGTGAAACGTATCAAAGTGTTGTGAAGCACAAAACACAAAGTAATTTGTAGGATCTGTCATGTACGTATTTTGAATAACGATGACACAAAGGGCACAAATCTTACAGATGATTTGTTTAACCTTTATACTTTGATACCATATTTTTATTAAATGTATTGCTATCACAGTCACGGATGTCACATATAACTTATGCTATATGTCCAACGGTACTCCGACGATATACGACCATCGTATTACTACACCTAGCATTTGCCTAGACAAAATATCTGGGAATGTCCCTCTCATGGTCACGCCAAGTTATAATTTTGTCTCATTGCACGCGATGTAATCTAGAAAAGGCCATCGGCATATATTAATTAATTCATCATTCAATTTTAGTTGAAGAACTTCTAAGGACGGTATATCGGATGTTGTTAATGAGAAAAATAAATGAACTTGTTTCCTTTATTTCCAGAGAAGTTCATTATTGGTGTCAATCTCCATGACAACGAGGGTTTGCGTGTTGATGCTTTTGTCTAAATTTCCCTAATTGGGGCCTAGAAGAACGAGGTTGCCAGACTTCAAAGAAACACCAAAAGGAACTGAGGATATATTATTTATACGCTGACACGTTTATGAGTTCTCAGCTTATCCCCCGTGACTGATCATAAGTGGAAAGACTTGGGATTGATACATAGCCATATTGAGACGTCAAGAATAGACACGGTGCACAATAGGAATCTGTACTTGACAATAGAGATTATTTCGACTTAGGAATTGCCACGATTTTTCTTATTAAATTGAGGAAAGCTTGGTGATCACAAAGGAAGCCGTGACATTGTCAATGGAGTTGAATTCAGATTGAACGACTATTGGCTGACAGTGTATTTGTAATACTCTCGTGTTTGCTGGTGATAGTGGAATCTCATCAAGTTAGTTACCCGGAATAATACAATCAACGTTCGAGCTTGGTTTTATTGCGCGGAAATTAAGTTTACGCTCGATTACTTCGGATTACGGCATTATTGCGAAAGTCAAAAGAAAGCGACAAAAGAAAAGATCCTTGTAAAGAAACCATACAAGACATTTGAGTCTGAGAAAGTGAGATTTTCATTGCATAGGATGGAGTCGTTTAATTTTGCGATGATGGCTGGGAACCTATCAAACAGTAGTGATGGGAATTTTTCATTCAACTTCGATATGTTTAAACTAGAGTCGGATACTTCTATTATCACATTCACGATACTATCGACAATTTTATGTGCGACTGCTATAATTGCCAACTTCGCTACAATGTTGATCGTCATCTTTCTACCAAAGCAGACACCTTTCACGAAGTTGTTCGTGAATTTAGCGATTTGTGACATACTAGGAACTCTTGCAATTTATGTTGGCGATGTAGCATTTCGTGCTGGAACCCACTGGAACGTTGCGATAGAAACGTGTAATATGCTCTTCAAAATTGGTGGCACGTGCTTCAGTTTGTTTTTCTTTACGTCAGCCGTGACGCTGCTCGTGTTCGCCATAATGCGCTTCATCGGTATCACTAAACCACACTCATTCAAACCTCTCTTTGAAAGTACGAAAAAGGTGGCGCTGTATATTGTGCTTTGTTGGTTCATATCTCTTTGCTTTACCTTACCAACTATCGTATGTGACAAGGCGAAACAGAGATGCAGTCATTTACAAAGGCAAGCTTATAATCGAGAGGCAACGTTTGGAATGGATTCCAATTTAGTCGGAATGCCAAACATATCAACTGAAAACGCAACATATTACACAAACGCTGAAAAAGATACGTCATCCACGCCAATTGAATGTATGACAAAAGGCGCCTATACATTTTGTGCGAACTGGAAATACATATGGGCGGGAGGGAAGGCATTAATACTCGTGATCGTCGTGTGCCTGTACCTCAGCCTTTCGCGAGACTTGTTCGTGAGAACTGCATCGTTCAGGTCGTCGACGAAAAGCAAAAATGATGATTCAATCCGAGACAGTGAAAAGGACAAACACGCTTTCATTACAATCTTAATTCTGTTAGTGATACTGGTATCAACAGGAGTGCCCTACATTGCAGTAAAAGTCTACAGGAGTGCCCATTTTGATCAAAACATAATTAGTGTCTACAACAATTTTATAACATATTTTCCATATATCAATTTCATCCTCGATCCTATCGTTTACAGCATTCGCTCTCCGGACATTAACGCAAAATATAGGTCCATATTTGGGCAAATATTTTGCTCAGAACGCTCGCACGTACAAAACGGAAATACCACTACAGACTATACTGTGGTCTCGAATAGCAACGACAATACAGTTACCATGACGATGAATGATAACCAAACAAAAGCAGAAAATGACAGTCACGCGCCATTAACGATGACAGAAATACCTACTAAAGCAGAAAACGTGTAACATGGGAATAATAAAAACTTGGTACCATTGACAGCATTCGTATGAATCACTGAGAAAATAGCTATCAACATTAGGTCGTATTATCAACCGATATGCATGGCCATTTCATTCACATAATATTAGTTATTATCTGTGTACCTTTCCAGCTGAACGTGAAATTAATACAAAATCGTTCGAATACCGGTGTAAAAGGGTAGGAGGTCAGGGGCGGATCTGGGAACCAACAAGGGGGGGGGCAAACTTCTTGTCTGAGAAAAAAAATTTGGGCCCCTAAAGCCTAAACCAAAAGCCCAAATTTAGAAATTTGAGGCCCATTTTCTTCAAAATTTGGCCTAAAATTTAAAAATAAGGCCTTGGAAGGCCCATTTATGACCAAAAAGGCCCACTTTTGGGGGCCTCAAGGACTTTTTTGGCTCCGCCCCCCCCCCCCAGATCCGCTAGTGGAGGTCCTATTGATTTATGGTCCTACTCTCCATTGATTTATATGGTGACCTCTTTCCCTTATTACCGGGTGTCCAGATTGTATCAAAATGAAACTTGGACAACTCGTTATTCTTTCATCGAAAGAAGCTCAACAGTATAGAAGATAAAGAGAATTTATATCTCGATGGCCAGTAAAATAGAAGTTTGGAAACTACTCGTTCGGAAATATGACATGTTCTAAATGTCCCTTTTCATGACTGAGGTGAATGTTGAAATTGGTAAAAATGAGGTTCGTATATACTAAAACGTTTCTCTAAAAATAAAGTTACCAGATGAAACTTTCAAATGTTTTGAGAATTAAATTGAAAGATGAGACCATTTCGTAAAGATTTCTCCATCACTCACATAGTTATTCAATGTTTCTCTCGCTACAATTTTGGGGGATTGTACAGTGTAAGTGTTGTTACTCTTCAATAATAAATAAATGTAAATATAACGATTATAATATGACCACTACAGGACACTTTCATGAGCACATATGTTTACAATTATCTTGGTGACCGAAAACATTAGCTGTTCAATGTTTTTGATTTGGTTAACAATAAACTTATGATAAATTGATGTATTTATTTTAGTTACATGTATTAGTATTCAAAGGGCAATTTAACGGTATACTCTCATCCAAAAGTGAGGCGTTAAGCAATTTAAAATCTGCCATACTTTTAACCATGGGTTACTAGAGAAAATCTTAAACCAAACACGCTTTAGCAGGCTATGAGGTAATGTTACAAAACTTTTACAGGAAAGTGTAGGTCGACATGTATGAATTTCGATAACACAATAGCGATGCTCTTTTTCTAGATATCACGGTCTATGAGGTTTCATCATCATCATTATTCCCAAACAGCACGAATTCGCGTACAATGTACAGGTACGCTGCGTAACGCACGCAAATGATCATAGAGAGGCGTCGGACACACATCGCATCGTAAAGTTACGCAACGCATTAATCAGACATATGTATGTGACGCCACTCCTTTATGTGAAACTAGTGGAAATGGGATATGGAAAACGTTACGTTGTTTTTTATTTAATTACGTTGGTCATGACGTATCCACTTTTATCATTCAAATTAAGTGACGCCATGTACATAAATCTGGTCAATTAATTAATGTTTTAGATACATTTGCTTATAAATATTTGCAAAATCAATCTACTGTTTGTTGAAGAATAATCAGAGTAATGCGGATCGAAATACGTTTCGCATAAATGTAAGCTTAACGCTCAACAAATTGAAAAATGAAAAATCTTTATGACGTATCGATAATACGATATTTTTCTTGTTTTACCAGGCTTATGTTGAGGACTATTATTGTTAGTAATAAAATATGTCATTTCATATTGAGCAACTTTTTTATTTCCGTGATTTTTTCAACTTCCAGGAAGTAGCTTATGAAGCTTATATAATTCATTGTGATTTGTAGAGGTCTTCTTGATCATCTCGTGAACGGCACACATTCATCACATAATGGTAAGAACAACAATCCTACTGTTTTGACTCATTTACGGAATCTAAAAAAAATAACAATACCGGAAGCCATCTATAATTTCCTTAGCAATATACATTATTTGTCACTCTGGTGTCTATTTTAAACCATAACATAAATAGGCCTATAAGATACCGGTCCATGTTATTGCATATACAAATGCTGACTTCCCATGAGGGAATTAATGAGGGGATTATTTTCCCTAAGAAAATATCATGTCCACTGACATGTTCTCAAGGTTGCAGGCCAATTTACCTCGTTCTTTTCTTTCCAAATTAATGTTCAAACTTTGCATTGTATAGACTCGCCACTTCGATAAAAATCCAACATACTTTTCTATCTAAAAAAATAAAAACTTCAAATTCACATCCATTTATATCTTTTCCTCGAGTTGATTTCAATGTTCAGGGTCTACCCTGTTAATTGATTATTTTTATTGCAATTTAAAGGGAACACGCAATTTTAACTAGGATTCGAATTTTGTTATAAATTATTCAGGAATGACGGAATCGCAAGATAAAATGTATCTCGCCTAACATAGCGACGACAGGAAATCCAACTACCAAATAAACAACATAAATTCCAAAATTAGACAAAAATACTTACATGGACATGCATGATAATATATATATATATTTTTTAATGGATTTTTATTTCTCTTTTATTAAACTCTTGGCAAGCATTGCCTAACACAGACGTGTTCACGTTTCCCTAAAACATTGTTAGCATTTACAATAGTATGAAAATTATACAACATGGAAAATATGAAGCAGTATAAACTTGTAGTACATGTAATTACAATAAATTTTTAATATCCTTCCATTTATCTCCTCTTCCTTCTTTTACATCTATTAAATAGTATTCTTCTATGTTTCTCTTCAGTCCCAGAAAGGTTGGACGCACCTTTAGACATTTACATAAGTATATATATCTCCTGTATATAGATAAAATTGTATTTATCAATATTGTTTCACTACATGTATTTATAATTACTGGTCCTAAAGTGATTGTACTTTTGTCACATAAATCAGAAAGCTTTTTAGGAAGCCAGTTTTTAATATCTTGAATTACCATTTCGACAACCTCACACGTTAAAAACAGGTGCACCAGGGTCTCTATGTGTCTATTGCAAAAACAGCATTTATCAGATTCCTTAATACCACACATCTTTAAGTATTTATTTGTCGGTAGAAATCTGTGGATTACTTTATAGTTGAAAGATGCTAATTTAGGTTCATAGTTACTTATTTTATTAATTTTATTAATGTTTTTCCATTCATGGTCTTCAATATTAATATCTAAATCACCGTTCCATTTATACACATAGTTGTCGTTGTAATCAAGGTTTTTAATTAGTTCCCAGTAAATTATTTTACAAATTTTTTTCTTTTCCATTAATTTTAACACATGTTTTTTATATTCAGAATAATATTCAGGCGGTTTATTATTTTCAGATATTATTTTTTTCCATTTTTCAGGAATTGTGTTTTTCAGACTTAGAAAATCTAAGAAGTTTATTTTTGTGTTAAAACGGTCCATAAATTCATTTAATCTCAAAATTCTTTTTGATTCGTGATCTGACTTTTTCAGAAAGTTAAAAAATCTTCGGAAATTGAATTCTTTTTTAAATATATATTTATTTAAGTCAAGAACAGCTACATATTTGTCACATAATGTTTACAGAATCAAATATATCGAAATAGATGCATACACGTTGTAAAAGTCAATTATGCTAAATTATCAAATTGAATTCTGTGGATGCACATTTTACTTAAAAATGTCGAGAGGTGAAAGAGATGAGTCATCCCTTGCTCAAAATCTCATTTAAACAGGACTTTGAAAAAATGTAAAAGCTATATCGCAAAGGGAAAATTGATATTCATTGTTTATATGTCTTAGATATTTTCCTTCCATATATCCACAATCTTAATAGACAATATGATGACGAGGATTCGCACAAGGGGTTACAGCTCAGTCTGAGACCGCATTTTGTTTAGGAGACACACAACTATTAGATCCTTCCGCCGAGTGGGAAGACGAATATATGGCATTATAAAAACAACAAGGCACAGACGTGAAGAATATCGTACCTAAAACACAGCATTGTGGTCTTGTTGACCAAGAAAGCAAGATGGCCGCAGAAAAGTTAATCAGCTCTAGAACTTATCACTGTGTAACATATGTAAAAATTTGAACGGTTTGGCTGGAAATTCTGTAGACAAGTCTTGAAGGTGAAGATTTTAAGGACGGAAAATCCAAAATGGCCACCTTAAGATTTACCCAGAATGCCCAAAAACTAATCAATTCTTGACGTTGATATGTAGAAACATTCCTGAAAATTTCAGATGAATCCCTCAAATGGTTTGGCTGGAAACCTGTAGACAAGTCTTGAAAGTGAAGATTTTACGACGGAAAATCCAAAATGGCCACCTTAAGATTTACCCAGAATGCCCAAAAACTAATCAGTTCTTGACGTTGATATGTAGAAACATCCCTAAAAATTTCAGATGAATCCCTCAAATGGTTTGGCTGGAAACCTGTAGAAAAGTCTTGAAAGTGAAGATTTTAGGACGGAAAATCCAAAATGGCCACCTTAAGATTTACCCAGAATGCCCAAAAACTAATCAGTTCTTGACGTTTATATGTAGAAACATCCCTGAAAATTTCAGATGAATCCCTCAAATGGTTTGGCTGGAGACCTGTAGACAAGTCTTGAAAGTGAAGATTTTAGGACGGAAAATCCAAAATGGCCACTTTAAGATTTACCAAGAATGCCCAAAAACAAATCAGTTCTTAACGTTGATATGTAGAAACATCCCTGAAAATTTCAGATGAATCCCTCAAATGGTTTGGCTGGAAACCTGTAGACAAGTCTTGAAAGTGAAGATTTTAGGACGGAAAATCCAAAATGGCCTCCTTAAGATTTACCCAGAATGCCCAAAAACTAATCAGTTCTTGACGTTGATATGTAGAAACATCCCTAAAAATTTCAGATGAATCCCTCAAATGGTTTGGCTGGAAACCTGTAGACAAGTCTTGAAAGTGAAGATTTTAGGACGGAAAATCCAAAATGGCCTCCTTAAGATTTACCCAAAATGCCCAAAAACTAATCAGTTCTTGACGTTTATATGTAGAAACATCCCTGAAAATTTCAGATGAATCCCTCAAATGGCTGGAAACCTGTAGACAAGTCTTGAAAGTGAAGATTTTAGGGCGGAAAATCCAAAATGGCCACCTTAAGATTTACCCAGAATGCCCAAAAACTAATCAGTTCTTGACGTTGATATGT